AGCTTTCATATCTTCCGCCCATGGTACTGAAGAATTAACCAGGAAAATTCTTTCTCAATCACTGGTTAATTTTGATGTACCATTTTTAGTGGAAGCTGTGAAAGCTTGGAAAATCGCTTGCCCAAATATTGACCCCCCCGTCAAATCACTCTCCCAGAGACAATGGGACGAGCCGCTCTGCAGGAAAGTGAGCGAAAATCTATTGAACTCCGCTTGTTCAACTGCAGAGCGAGCTCGCCTTTTGGCTGTGGGTGAGTGGGAGTCAGGGTTATGGCTTCTTGCTTTGCCTTCGTCCAACTTAGGTACTTTGTTGGACGACACCACATTCCGCGCTGCAATTTGTTTAAGGCTTGGGGCTTCATTTTGTTCACCTCATCGTTGTCGTTGTGGTGAAGATGTCAACAGCCTTGGACACCACGGCTTGTCGTGTAGCCGTAGTGCGGGTCGTTTTGCTCGACACGCGAGTATTAATGACATAATTCGTCGAGCTCTTGTCTCCGTTGGCGTGCCAGCTACTTTAGAACCTAATGGCTTGGTACGCAACGATGGCAAGAGACCCGACGGTATGTCATTATTCCCTTGGAAGATGGGTAGGCCTTTAGTATGGGACGCCACTTGCGTTGATACTCTGGCGCCATCCCATCTTCCAAACTCAGCGTGTCGAGCCGGTGCTGCCGCTGCTGCTGCCGAGAACCTCAAACGGCGAAAGTATGATAGCCTGATTGGCAATTATGCTTTCGAACCGTTTGGGGTTGAAACTTTAGGGCCGTGGGGCCCAAGTGCACATCTTCTTTACAAAGATATTGTAAAGAGGATGGTTGACACTTCAGGTGATCGAAGGGCTGGCTTCTACCTTGGACAAAGGTTAAGCATTGCCATTCAACGTGGTAATGCTGCCAGTCTTTTGGTCACCCTACCTCACGATAATGATGAGGAAAATTTTTTTTTTGATGCCTTATTATAGCTTATTTATTTATTATTACCTTTTTTTTAAGGTGTAAATATTTTAGTTCATAGTTATTTATATTTTAAGTTGTATATATTTTCATTTAGTTATAGTTAATATTAATTGTATATATAATAAGTATGTATTTTCAAATAAATTATATTTACTTATAAAACTACTTTACAAAATGAAATCAAATAGTCATGAGTGGCCCCTCTGATGCTTTTCTTGTTGTTGGTGACTTCAACATGAGTAGTATTAAGTGGGTGTTGTCCGAGAATCTATCTTTCATTCCTATCGACCCAGTGGGTCAAGACGAAGTTATGCTTATTGATGAATTACATACCCTCGACCTTGGTCAATACAACGGTGTTCATAATCGATATGACAGAATTCTAGATTTGGTACTCAACCGATTAGTTGATGGGACCGGATGCCCAAGTCCTTTGGTTGCCATCCGTACTACCATCCAGCACTTTTAATTAGTGTAAGTGCTAGTCTGTTAATCTGGTTTAAAAGGAAAATAAAATAAACGTAACTTTTATAAACAATCGATTTATTTCGTCTCTATCAAAAGAAATTCGACATTTTTTCGATCGTGTCGTTTCGTCGTATAAACTATAATATGTATGTATATTATTTACAATATCATTAAAATTACGTTTTGTGGGGATCCAAGACGCCGGAAAATACAAACGGACATTTATGACATCTTTGGATCACCGTAACAAATAAATTATAAAAAGACTAGCTCAGGACGCCACCCCTAGCGTGGCGGCGGAGGCCGGGGCTTCGCAGTCGCATACGCAATCTCCGACAGACGCACGTCTATAGGCGCGCGCTCATCGTACAGAGTCGGCGCTTGGAGGATGATGCCGGCCGACCCCACCACCACGGCCAGCGTAAAGATCCACAGGAACAGTCGATCCAGCACCATCGCCACATATTTCCAATCCTCTTTCACCTGTAAAACATAAAAACATAAAAACGATCAAGTCACTCCAGAAGTCCAGACTCTACTATTTAATATTTCCCGTTGCCAAAACGTCTGAGACTAGTATCTCACCCTAGTAGACTCCTCCTCCTTCCGCGTCTGTTCGGCAATGTAGTTGATGCCGTCGATGGCCTTGTTTAACTCGGGACAGCGATGCCAGCGCCGCAGTGCATCACACAGCGCGGGCGCGTCGTGCAGATGGCACGAGCGGCACGTGGCACACGCCGGCACGCCCGGCACGGCGCCCACGCCGCCCAGCGGCGAGCTCTCGTCCCACGGCGTGCTCTCGCTCACCGCAGTCACCAGCCCTGCACTAGAGGTCGGGCGCATGCGTCACACGCGGCACACGCGGCGAACAGTGACGTCGCACACATGGCGCAGTACTCACAAGCGACTGCGGTGCGGATCGACGCGGTAGTGCGGGCGGCGCATCACGAGTAGGCGCGGCAGGACGTGGATGAACACACGCCGGACCCACGGCGCCATCGTATGGGTTTGCGGTGACCGGAAGTGCACGTTCAACACTACCACCGTCACGCATATACTGCATAGTATTACAAAAATAAGTTTAGATGTAGGTCGCGGCTACTAGAGCGGCTGGCGGCGCGAATGTTAGTACCTGAACGTGTCGAGGATCATGGTGAACAGCACGAACTTGCCGAGCAGAGGTACGACGAGAGACGTTGGCGGGATGATCTCAGCCAGCAGCAGGAAGAACACGGTGAGCGATAGAAGGATGGAGATCGAGAGAGACACCTTCTCGCCGCTGTCGGAAGGAAGGTAGAAGACCAGCACGGTGAGGAAGGAGATGCCCATACAGGGGATTATGAGGTTCACCGTGTAGAAGAGAGTCTTGCGGCGCATCGTGATATTGAACGTGATGTCCAGGTACGGCTCGTCGCAACACGTGTAGAATTTTTCATTTCTGCCAGACAGAGTACAGTTACCATTAATGGAGACCATCCACACTATATTATACATTGATGCAACATTGAGACCCACAAAATATTTATGCTTATGAAACAACATATCCTAACTAACTGATTCAACATCGCCGACCCATTCATTATCCACTGAATTGTGTAGCCAACAACTTAGAAGGAATTAAAAAAAATTAATGAATGAAGGAATTTAATAAAAATTACGTTTAAAAAAATATAAATCTCGAACATATTGACCTCGGTGCCGCGTCCTGCCCCGCATTGCGTCGGAAATTATTTTTCATCTTTTTTTCTGCAATAAGTATCGTTATTTTTTATGTGTTTCTAAACAACTAGAAATATATATGTTTATACTAGCTTTTGCCCGCGACTTCGTCCGCGTGGAATAGTGACCCAGGCAGGAGAGAGAAGTACTCTCTCCTGCCTGGGTGAGGCAGGAGGGAGTGTCAGACCCTTACTGACTAAAAACCACCCCGTTCCTATTCCTGCACTTCGAGCCGAAGCCTCGGTAACCCGTTATGTTCTCCGCGGCTCCGTTTCAGCATCAGCCCTATTGGGCCCGTGGTGGTCTGATGGGTCTTTGAGGCGCGCGCGGAATGCAATGCGTCGTACGCTCGGGTCTGGTGCTGGTCAGGCGGCGAGCCACCCATGCTCGCCGTCCGCAGGCCCGCAGTTACGGTGGACGAAGATCGTCGCGCGATCACCGACGCCCGGAGTGTCCTTCGCGACGTCTGAGTTGTGAGGAGGCAGCGCTTCGCTGCCTCACGCACCCCGCCTCCTCCTTAGTTAGCATGACTGCTTCGCAAAAGGAGGAGACGGCATCCCAGTCCCCCTCGCTCCGCATCATGACCCGCACTGCAATGGCAGCGAGCCCAGTCTTCGGTTGCGACAGTCGTTGCTCCCATTCCGCTATGATATGGCGCCGGAGCTCTTCCCGCCATGCACTAATCTGGCGTGGCGGTGGAGTATCGCCCCGACGACAGAGAGAAAACGCGCGCGAGCACCTTCGCCTCCAGACCCCCCGGTGGAAATCAGGCAAGGAGGTCAGGAGGCGTTTGTCCCCCCGAGTTTGGGCAAGCGCCGCCCCTGTCCATTCCAACTTAAGAGCCAAACGTCGGAAATGCTCCACGAAGTTCCAATGACTGTTGAGAACGTGCCCCAGGTACTTCATCGCCGTTTCGACGCCGATGGTTATCTGTCCGTCAGGTAGGCCTCGATTACATGACGGAGAAAGGTAGGCACCCGATGATATCGGAGTGCCTCCAAGATGCAGGTCCAGGGCAGGAGGTTGAAGGCGTCAGCGATGTCTAGAGACACCGCCACAACGACCTTATCCCTGGACACTGCAGTCCCCGTCGTGAGGTCTCTAAGGCGCATGATAGCGCCCTTTTCACATTCACCATGAAGCGCCCTCTACGGAAGCCGAACTGGCCGTCCGACAGGTCCGGCCCAATATCCGACAGGTCCGCGACGAGGCGGTTCAAAATTATTCTTTCGAAGACTTTCCCCACTTCGTCGAGCAGCACGATGGGCCGGTACGCGGACTGACCAGTTTGCCCGCTTTCCACAGCAGCGGGGACTGGTCTCTCTCCAAACATGCGCTGTAGAGACCGATCAATCGAGGCCCGAGAGCCTCCGAAGCCAGGGCCCATGTCTTGCCATGCAATCCGTCGGGTCCTGGGGCGGTGTTCTTGGGGCTCATCCGGCGCACCGCCGGTCTCAATTCTTTTATTAAGGTTTATTAGTTTTTACCGACTTCAAAAAAGGAGGAGGTACTATGTTCGGCTGATTGTTATTTTATTTTTATTTGTTCGCGCAGTACTCCGCTATTTGTTAACCGATTTCGAAAATTCTTGTTTTAATTGAAAGGGTATACTCCCGAGATGGTCCCACTTACATAAAGTCAGGATCTGATGATGGGATCCTAGGGAAACCGAGGGGAACTTTCAAAAATTCTATGGGGGAGTAATGCGTCTATTATGTTTTTCAATTAAGATTTTTAAACACTACAATTTGATAAGGGTCTGGAGTCGACTTGATGATGGAGTCGACAGAGAGTCGAGGGAACTCCTTAGCGGTTTATATTAACTACCTTGTGTTTGGGCTTGATTAATGTGTATTGATGAGGACTTTACACCTAGATAAAGTGGGGCTATCATTAAGGGTCTGATGATGAAGAAGAGGAATTGTTAAGGGAACTCCTTAACGGTATACTGAAACTACCTTGTGTTTGGGCTTGTATAATTTGTATTGATTAGAACTTTGCACCTATGTATATTATAAGTAACAAAACGGGTATTTGTAGCTTTACACTGAAAATGATAAAATAATAAAATAAAAACTGCGTTTAAAAAACCGACTTCAAAAAACCAAAAACTAACAACAAAACAAAAAGTCAAAACTAAAAAGCAAAAAATAACTATTATTAGTACTGATAGGTTACCCACCCACTGATAGGTTGGAAGTCGGTGCCATAAGCTCATATCACAATGATATAACTTAATGCCCACAAAATTGTGAATTAGGTACCTATTATTGGTAGTTTGGTTTAGGTATACCTTTAAAATTGATTTCGGTAAACCCCTTTTATCTACAACTATTTGGATTTGTTTTCTTTATAATAAAAGGATGCCTTATATGTATTCGATTTCAATAAAAGTGTCTAATTTTTAAATATCGGATTACTTTTAAACATATCATAAAGTTTGCAAATTATTTTGATTTCAGTGGTATGAATTTCGGTGTTTTCGTTGGAAATAGGTGCACCGGAGGACTTTATTTTGGATGAAACTTTGTCAATTTTAAACCGATCGGGCTGAGACATTGCATGTGTGAGAGGTTCCAAAATTAATAATTAAAATAAGTGATTACTTACTTTAAGTCGGTATATAGTAATGCACCGCCACGACTAGACTCAGAAGGGGCAGCGGCGGAAGCGGGGGACACTGGTAGCCAATGTTTACATCTTAATGAGCTTAGTCTTAAGGATGTTAGAAGTGCTCTCGACCGTCTCAAGCCAAAGCTATCTGCGGGCCCGGATGGTCTACCAGCGTTCCTTTTCAAAGACTGTGGTAGGGTACTCGCGGAACCTTTACTTTTTATATTTAACACGTGTCTTCAGTCTGCGAGGTTCCCAGCTAGGTGGAAGATAACACGGGTCATTCCAGTACCCAAGGGTGGGGCGGGAGCTGACATCGGTGGGTATAGGCCAGTCGCTGTGTTGTCGACGCCGGCAAAGGTGTTCGAATCTGCCATTCAGCGCTGTATGCAAGAGCGAGTGCGCGGACAGTTATCGGATGCGCAGCACGGATTCCGGTCAGGGTGCAGCACTGCTACCAATCTCCTGGATTTCATGGGACGAGTGGTGCCAGCTGTCGATGCGGGAGTGCAGGTGGATGTAGCTTATTTTGACTTTAGAAAAGCTTTTGACACCGTCGATAATGACATATTACTGCGGAAGCTAGCAGAAGTAGGATGCTCGCGGAATCTATTGCGGTTTTTTGCTAGTTACATGGAAGGCCGAAAGCAGTACGTGGACTACAAAGGATGTGAATCCGATCTATATTACACCTGGTCGGGGGTAAGTCAGGGCAGCAACTTGGGGCCTCTAGAATTCATTATCATGATAAACGATCTACCGGAAGTCGTAAGACATGGTGCTTGTTTGTTATTTGCAGATGACCTTAAGTTGCTGTTAGAGATTAGGTCAGAGGCAGATTGCAGGCGCTTGCAAGAGGACATCGATCGCATAGTACAATGGAGTCATGAAAACAAGCTGTACTTTAACGTATCCAAGTGCTCGTTGATGAGTTTCACCCGTGCTCGTGCACCGGTGCGCTACGATTATGTGGTGGATGCGGCGCCACTGCAAAGAGTCACAGGGGTGCGAGACTTGGGTGTTTTCATGACTCCCGATCTGACATTCCGTGAGCATATAACCAGAATCTGTAAGAAGGCATACAGAAACTTAGGATTTGTTTTGAGACAGACACAAAGCTTCACAAATATTACAACAGTTAGAGTCCTATATGATGCACTAGTCAGGAGTCATCTGGAACATAGTGCGGTCATATGGGCTCCACATGAAGCTAAGTACACGTTAATGCTGGAGAGCGTTCAGAATAAGTTCACACGCCACCTGTACAAGAGATTGTATGGGGTATATCCGTTTTACCCACTGATGTATCCCACTCTATTTATCCTGGGTATGGTTGGATATAATCAACTGCATGTCCGGCGAGAGTTTACACTGGTCGCCTACTTGGTGAGGGTGCTTCGTGGAGTGGAGAGTCACCCGACAGTATTGCGGCACTTAAGTCTGTGTGTGCCGGACCGCTACGTGTGGCGACGGCGGAGTCCGCCTTTGCTGTTGGTACCTACAGCGAGAACTAACTTACTCGCTAAGGCACCTCTTACCAGAGCTATCCGTACCATTAACGACCTTCACGCACAGATTGATGTGTTAACATGTTGTTTTGGTGAATTCGCGAGGGTATTACTATTTATATTGTGTTATAAGTAAAATAATATTATGTATTTTTATTAGATTCGATAATTTCAATAATGCCATGTAATTTTTAATTATGTTGGTGAATAATGTATAGCTTTTTCCTATTTTTGATTCTATATATTGTTATTGTTGGTTTAGTTGGTGTTGGTTTGTATTGTATATTTGGTTTGGTTCTTAGCTGTCGCATTAGGGTACGTGATGCCCTGTAATGATAGTTTAAGTGTTCTTAAATATAAATAAATAAATAAATAAATAAATAAATAAATTAATTAATTAATATGAAAAAATTGTGGTTAATTATTTTAAAATGTGATTAGAAATATCTGAGAATCAATTGTACAAATTGTGACCATTTGTACCGACTTCAAAAAAGGAGGAGGTAGGTACTATGTTCGGCTGATCGTTTTTTTTTTCTTTTTGTTTGTTCGCGCATAACACCGCCGTTTGTGAACCGATTTCCAAAATTCTTGTTTTGTTTGAAGGGGTATACTACCAAGATGATTCCATTTACATGAGGATCTGACGATGGGATCCTAGGGAAACCGAGGGAAACTTTAGAAAATTCTAGGGGCGAGTAATGCGTCTATTATGTTTTTCAATTAGGATTTTTAAACACTACAATTTGATAAGGGTCTGGAGTCGACCTGATGATGGAGCCGACAGATAGTCGAGGGAACTCCTTAGCGGTTTATATTAACTATCTTGTGTTTGGGCTTGATTAATTTGTATTGATGAGGACTTTACACCTAATTAGAGTGGGACTGTCATTAAGGTTTGATGATGAAGAAGTGTAATTGTTAAGGAACTCCTCAACGGTATACTGTAACTACCTTGTGTTTGGGCTTGCATAATTTGTATTGATTAGAACTTTGCACCTATGTAGATTATAAGTGACAAAACGGGTTACAAGTCGGTGCCATAAGGTCATATCATGATGATATAACCTAAAAGCCACAAAATTGTGAATTAGGTAGGTATAGGTACCTATTAAGGTTTTAATGATTAAACTTATGGCACCGACTTCTAACCTATCAGTGGGTGGGTAACCTATCAGTACTAATAATAGTTATATTTTGCTTTTTAGTTTTGACTTTTTGTTTGTTATTAGTTTTTTGAAATCGGTTTTTTAAACGCAGTTTTAATTTTATTTTAAAAATTAAGTGTCTGTGTTACGTCACAAACGGTAGTCAGGGGTGGGGCGGAGTGACGAGGTTGTTTACGACTCAGTGTAAAAGCGGCGGAGCAGCCGGTGAACGGGACTGGCCCCTGAGACGTGAACAGTGTCGTTACTCTGCCCCCTGTGTGGCTGTGTTAGATCTGACTCTGAGTACCTACATGTTATTATATTCAGGTGAGTATTTTCTTTATTTGTCAAACTTTGTGTAACCCATAAAATAATTGTGTGCTTGGATATTCTAATGTGAATTACGTAATAAATAGTACTGTGCTATACTTATTAGTGAGTTATTGAGTGTTTGGTTATATTTATAAAGGAAGTAAAATTCCTTTGTTGTGATTGTTGTTTTTTTTTATTTTATTTGGGTACCAACATCTAACACATGCATAAAGTAACTATGACGTAGCATCCTCTAAGAAAGGATTTTGATAAATTTCATCCCAAAGGGGGTAAAATAATAAACAGATTTGAGAACTGAAATTAAAGAATAGAGCTACTATAATGAAGACATCCTCTTTAATAGGATTTTGATAATTTGATTTAATAGGATAGGACCCCGATAAAGACGGCTGACAGCTTTCAACCCGGAATACCACGAGAACGGGAACTATGAGTTAAAGCTCCGGGACCTTCTACTTTTTAAACCACTGTACTTATTTTATTAAAATTTAATGCAAAACAATGGTTTGCGACCAAAGAAAAGACCGTAGAATAGTATTACTTAAATACCACAAAAACGGGAATTATGCGTTAAAATCCCAGGACTTTCTATCTTTTAACTCGTCGAGTACCGGTTTTGTAGACACAATTATAGAACAATAGGTTGCGGTCACCGGTGACCGCTTGGTGTTTGACAGTTTAAACGACTGAACCTATTTGAGAGAAATACGGTGCAACGTTTTATATACTATTTATTTGATATTTTATTATAACACAAGTACCTGACGGCTGGTACTTCGAGAATGTCCCACTCCACGGAAGTGTAGAACTCGGACAGGTCGACACCCAGCTCCACGACATTCGTGCCACGCGCTTCGTCGATATGCCGAAGGTCCACCTGCACAATATGCGTCGAACTAGTACAAGTAGTGCTCACTCGTGTCGACTGACTTGCAGCTTTTTACGTGGAAGGCCCGCGGTTCGGTATTAGCGAATGGACGGTTTGACCAAAGGGATACCACGACCCTATAGAGAACCCCAGCGGGAAACAGTGCTTGTGTTGTGGCATGTAAGTGAGGCTCCGCGGATTGCGCTGCACCATCAAATCAACTGAAGGCTCCAAATCCCCCAAAAGGCCGACAATGCACTTGTAACTCCTCTGGAACGATTGCTTGCCACCAGGTGTTCATCAGTTGGTTTGCCCCTATTACAAAGTTATAGATTGTGATTTCTTACCTGGAAGCCGTCGTACGTCCATGAGCCGAACTTCATGACACAAGTCTGTTGGTCGAAGGGGAAATATTCGACGTCGATCTCACAGGAGGACTTGTAGATTGCAGGCGGACGCCACTCCACGCGACCCGTGTAGTTGAGGGTCGCCTTTGTCGCCAGCGTCACCTCGAAATTGCCATCCGCACTGTGGAATTAAAGAAAGTTAATAGGCACCTTGTGAATTAATCATCTACTGCGCAACGGCTCGTACTGACTTGTTATAGAGAACTATATCGGGTCGCCAGATGTGGTCTGAGGGTACATGCAGCATCTCGACTCCGCCGTATTCCCGCGGCTCCCACGACAGCTTGTAGTCGTACCAGCTCTGTGAACACAACGTGTGACTTATGACCAGCTCGCCAGTAGAGGCAGCGGGCGAGGCACGCGGCGACTTACCTGCTCCACCCACAAGTTAGTCGTCATGATCTGATTCTTCAGGTTCTGTAAGAGAAGCAATACTCATGAAGCGAAATGTGCGACGTGAGATACAATTTCGTGGTCGAAGTTAGGACTTCGCTGGGAGCTCACCACGTCGATGAGCTGGCTCAGCTTGAGCTTGATGCGCACGGTGAGAGCGTCGCTGACGTTGAGCACGGGCCGCACGAGTTTGTTGTAGTTGCTGAGCAGGTCGTCGTAGAGCCGCTTGGCGTCGGGGTTGGCGGCGCAGCCGGCGAGCGCGGCCAGCGCGGCCAGCAGCAGCAGCGGGGCCGCGGGGTGCGGCGCGGCACGGCGCGGCATCTCCGCCCGCGCATGGCGTCAGCGCATCGCGCCGCCACCGCGCGCCGCCTGCCCGGACTCTGCACGTAACACTCTCCATACTACACACTATATTTTATGTAAGACTATCGTATGTGTTTTAGAGCATGCAACAAAGAATAGATAATATATTAATACTACATCCGCCCTTCACGAGGGAGCGGGAGCGGGAGACCATTGTTTCAACAACTCGTTCCATACTTCGGTTCTCAGCGTGAGCAAGAAAAAGGAATTGTACCTATGTTAGGTAAAGGAATTGTCATTCGTGTTTTTACCCGACAAGCCAAAAGAAGGGGTTATGATATTGGGCGGTATATATGTTACCGGCCAAAACCCGATTTCAGGACAAACCAGTTTTGCCTAGGCTAAACTAGTTCTTCCTATACGCGTTAGGATTAACTAGTATAGCCTAATTCAAACTAATTTGTCCTAAGCCCGATAGGATAAACCAGTTTAAGCTAGGACAAACTAGTTGATCCTAATATAAATACGCATACTCTAGGATTAACTGGTATGGCCTAGTCTAAACATTCTAATATATCTAGAAAGTCGGAATAAATAGATAAATTGAATAAAATACTCCGTAATTGAAAAAATTATCATTTTTATTAAACTATAATGATTCCTCGTTAAAACTTATGGTTAATTGGTTATGCGAACAATCATGCTATAACAAATAATAAGTGTTTTTTAAAAGAAGCAATAATGATTTAAATTGTTATTAATTTAAAATCATAATGATTCGTCGCTACAAGTTATAGATAATAATTGGCAATACAAACAATCATAGGTACTATAACAAATAATACTGTTTTTATCACATAACATCACACCTTTTATCCCCGAAGGGGTAGGCAGTGGTGCACATTATGCCACTGTACAATGTAACACCGACTTTTCACTATTTATGTTACGATTCCCATGTAATAGGGGGTGAGCCTGTTGCCATATACCGGGCACAATTCCAGAGTCTGTGCTACTACTGAGATTTAAAAAAAACGTGCGACGTGTCGCGGGTGTGATTCCCGCACGGAACAACACTTTGCGCGATCCACAACTTGTTGTTCCGGGTCTGGGTGTCATGTGTATGTGAACTTGTATGTTTGTAAACGCACCCACAACACAGGAGAATATCCTAGTGTGGGGCAACGTTTAAAAAAAATACCCAGTAATTACACCTACCATTTACTCTTCTCTGCATCACCCAAAGGTCAGACTGGTAGAAAACGCCTGCGGCATTAAGTATTTGTACATTTCGTGCATGAAGCATATTCAATAAATAAAATAACTAATACTTTGCCCGGGAATCGAACCCGAGACCCCTTGCCCGGCAGTCGCACTGCGACCACTCAGCCAACGAGGCAGTCGCATTGTTTTTTTTTAAGAGACGCATAATCATATTATGACAAGGTCATACCAGTTTATTCTAGAGTGTGCGTATTTATATCAGGATCAACTAGTTTGTCCTAGTCTAAACTGGTTTGTCCTATCGGGCTTAGGACAAATTAGTTTGAACTAGGCTATACTAGTTAATCCTAACGCTTATAGGAAGAACTAGTTTAGCCTAGGCAAAACTAGTTTGTCCTGAAATCGGGTTTAGCCGGTAACATATATAATTGTATATATGTATGTTCATCTATTCTCTCGTAAAGTTGTAACATTAGAAACGTCTCATTAGTCCGCTGGCTACATACAAGTATTTAAAATTGCACATGGTGCTCTCTAGAGGCCAAAAACTCGTAAAATAATAAAAAAGTAAGTTTGGTTAACTATTATCGTGTTTTAGTATCAAATGAAAGGGCGTAATTAGCTTAAATTATTTTGTATACTTTAACTCGCTAATTGCTTAAATAAACAGTACAAATACAAAAAAATGGAGTCATTTCTTAGTAGTAGAGCTTAGGGATAAGATATCTTACAACGGAACCTGATCAAGACCTTTAGCTTTCTTTACAAAATGTCGCTCTGTAGGACGATATTACTTAGTTTGAAACGGTGTTGGTGGTATACGGTCTATTTGGTTTACCAAAGTGTATTTTAGTTATTAGTACTTATATCCCACAATAATTAAATAAATAAGTTAAAAAACTAAAACTGTTTTGCTTAATACTTTTCAGGGCGTGTTTTGTAGTGTAGGTAGCTTAAGACTACTTATAAAGTAGAACTACATTCCATGCATGACTTTATAACTTCCTTCGTACAAATCCATAATCGTCTATAGTAGACAATATAAATATATATGCTAATTTAGTATTGAATATAACTATTAGAGAAGAGACTATAATATCGACAAAATAATTATAAATTAACCAACGCTCAATTCCTCACTCGCCTGTTCGGAGTTTTTCTGTGTTTCGGGATAGAGGCAAACGAACAGATGGATCATAAGTGATCGGCATCACCCCTGAGTAGAAGAGTAACGCACTATATTGCCGACCTTGGGCTCGCTATTATCGCAGCGACATGACTTTCAACTACCGCCTGACGCCCAGGTGTCATCACTGCGAGGGCACACCGGGCGTCGGGGATAGCGCGATGATCTCCAGGCACCGTAATCATGGGTCTGCAGACGCAGATAGCAAGGGTATTTCATCTCACGACCAGAATCAGACCTGTCCGTGGGGCGCGTGGCGTTATTCGCGCAACACAATGAGTCATCAGACCGCCACAGACAAGGACAGTAGGGCTGATGTCCGATGCGAGCTGCGGATGACCTAACAGATTACCGGAGCTCCGGCTCAAAGCAGAAGTGAGAACGGCGTAATTTCTTAGAAAGATAAGACTCACACTCCCCCCCGCATACCCAAGGCGGGAGAAGTCATTGGATGATCTTCCCCCTCAAAAAATGTACAAAAATTCCGTAAAACACAATGCGAAGGTTCGCGGATCACGTTTCCGAAGCCTGTGTGTTATAACTCCTCTATACGTCTGCAGATGAGTCCGGCGACGTGAAGAGGAGGCATCTGTCGGTGTCCGTGTTACTACGCATGGTGGTGCAGTCACAGTCCAGTAGCGCAGCGAGTGTGGCAGTTCTCGGTACTCGCCCGATACATGCACATCTCTCAACATCACATCACATTGGAATCCTACGTTACGATCAGCACTCGTGCTGCGGTACTTCGTATAGTAGGATGATGTTGGTAAGCCCTTGGCGCTGCCTACGGACACAAGTGCGGTGCCGATTCACAATGGCTTTTTGTTTGCGTCCGTGATGTCACTCCGGCCCTGCAGGTCTATTCGTGCCGAAGCCAGGATCTCCACATGAAATAGTACTTATCAAGCTATAACTTCATTTAATATGGTCCAGTATTAGTTAAGTGTAGGGATTAGATAAATTCGGTAGTTAGTGCGCACAGACATACTACTCGGGTCACTTGCACGTCGCAAGCGGCGAAAGGGTGCAGAGTAAGAAGTGTGGGTTGAGCGGGCCGCGAGGACGCGGGGGCGCGGGGCCGCGGAGTGGAAGGCGGGGGCGCAACGACACAGCGCACGCGAGCCGCAGTTCACTGTCCTGGCGACGACGTGCGTCTGTGTACATACAGGCGCGCTGCACTGGACGCAGCCACGTGCCGCGCCGTGCCTGCACCACTACCACTACCCGCACTCTGCTGAACGATAGCAGTATCTGTGTGTCATCTTACTACCCAGTGTAGAGTCGAATGCGAGAGGTTTTTATTAGAACCCTGCTGGCTGCCTTCGCCGAGTACCTTCGTTCCTTTATCTCTTAAGTCCGAGAGGAGGTAGGCAGCAGGCCCCAACCATGCACCACACCTGCGGGTGCTCGGCTTCAAAGATAACTCTTACTACTCTTAGCTATATTTTAAGATATAAATTAACCCGAATACAAAAATTTGAAGCACTTTATGAGTGGGAATACAGTAATGGAGACACAGCACTTGTCGTAGCCAAGTCGCGCACGTTATACTGTATTCGATATACATAGTATACACTGGAGGCAACAAAAATGACAATTACCAATTCGGGACCAAGCAAATCCTTAACGAGAGTTTAGTTGATAAAGTGTGCACGTTAATTCATCATTAGAAGGACACAGTGTTCGCAAGTGATCACTCGGTGTAGGCTCACGCTCCTCCGGCGGGCATGCTGTGTCGCGGCAGAGGGAGCGTCAGGCGGCGCGCGGCATCAGCGGCGAGCGGTCGCGGCGGGGGCGCGCCGAGGACTGCCGGCCCGCGCCGCCGCGCCGCCGCACTCCGCGCCCGCGCGCCCCGCGCCCCGCGCCGCGCCCCCGCCCCGCTTGCACGCACTCGCCACGCACCCGTCTTCGCTACGTCTCTACCGAATACTACTTATTCCTACCTATTATAAGTTATATTATAACACTAGCTCAGCTAAAGTTCCAATATGATGTTTGACATTGAAGAGTACCTTAAAAATATTACCTATACTAATTGAAATAAATATGATTTGACTTTGACATCGATCTCCAAATAAATTCAAAGATGTACCTATTGCGATTGTGATTGTGAACAACTACTAGCTGCGCTCACTTGGAGTCACACTGACAGTGCGCGCGAATTTAGTTACTGGCTACAACATGTGCTCTCACCCCTGTACTTCGAGTATATTCCACGTCCTAAATAATTGATTTGTGCCAAAGCGCAACTTACACAACATTAGACTCTAACTTGAAGTTAGAGTATATTATATTATTTCCTCATTTAGGTTTCTGATTATATCCTATTCGTTGTAGCCGCTGTGCGGTGCGGTCTTGTAAGGTTGTTGGTTAATTGAAAAGAATCCTGTATATAATAATTATGTAGATAGGGGATAAAGATGAAAGCTCTGTTATTCCCATGACGTATTATGTTCGTAATCAGACTACGTCTCAGTCTCATAACAAGTGCAGCAGTGTGCGCCGTGCGGTGTAGAAGTCGAAACGGCCCTCACTCGCGCGCCGCGCCGCCGTCAAGTGCAAGCGTAGCACTAGACGCGCTTGAAGTACCTCACCTTTTTTCCACGATGTGTCGCCGTAGCATCGCAACCTCGAAGCTACGGCGTAGGCAATGCGCGTAGACAACTACGCGTGTTGCATACGGCGTAGCAAACTGCTACGCGCCCGTGTAACCCAGCCCACGCCTCATTAAAAATCGCGTTTGCTACGCACTCGTAAGCCGTAAGCGTTCCTCCTGCACACGATTGACACGATGTCACCGCTGCCGCTCAATCATACTATACTGTAAGTATATATTTATACGCTCCGCCTTCCCGCTCGTTTCCATTCCATTGCTGGCCGCGTACGAACGCGTGTACAGGAGTCAGGAATGCTAACTTTAACTTTAGCTACAGTTTATCTTATATAAACTAACAAAGGTAATATATTGTATCACAATGTGGTACCGGTTGCCAATCATATATCTTGTACAGCTTACAGCGTTAAATATTATTAATTGCTTCAGTTAGAGTTCAATTTGTTTATCACAAATTAATTTCTGATTGCAAATTTCTACTAGACAAAATATTTTTGCAAAAACATCAGCTGGTTCAAATCCCAACACATTACGTCAACATTTAAGTGGGTACTACTACTTCGCCGACCAAACGACTCTTCTCGTACGCACAAAGTTTGAGTATTCCTCACCACGCTTGCTCAATGCGGGTTGGCGATTTCAAACTTATAATTAGGAAAGCCCAGGTTTCCTTCACCGTTTGTCAGTGCTGTTCAAATAATCTTAGAAAGTATTATATCGGAAAAATTCACATTGGTACTTTGCCGTTGGTTCATTTCGAACCTGCATCCTCATGCATGAGAAGCGGGCATCAGCATAAACCTCCGGAGACCACGACATGTGCTACAAGTCTCATAATGTTAGAAAGTACCTCTTTAACAAACTGGATACACTTACCGTAAACGAATGTTTCCTATTTGTTGAGAAACGAAAATCATTTAATGACTCCTCCCACCGTGGGTCCGGCGAGCGGTCGTATCAAACTCTTACTGCTTTGGCTCTACTCTCGCTTCGAGCTGGAACCACGGTAACCCTTGCAGTTCTCCGCAACCCTGGTCGGCCATCGGTCTTAGTAGGCCCCACCTGTGAAGGCCTGATGGCTCTTTGGGGTGTACGCGGCGCACCGCAAGCTCGGGTTCGATTCTGGTCCGCAGACCTGCACTCACGTTGATCGGAACGGAATCCCCAACGGCCGTCGCCTACAGTGGCTGTCGGCTCGCAGTCGGACACCGAATGACAGCCCATTGATGTTTGTCGAATAATTACGGCCTCATTTCAACATATTTATTTTTAGGGACTTTTAAAGTGTACTATGATATAAAAACACTCGATGAAATCCAAAAACTTGAAATACTTGTATGAATTGGCAAACAAAAGATACTGTCGTGTACATGTAGAAGTAATCGTAGTTGATGTAGTCACGCATTTATGATTATCGAGAAAAATAATGTTAATCATTGATCTGCCCAAACCACATAAATATCATATGGCCAATAAACAGTCGCATGAAATACATTTCACGGAGCGAGCAAACCTGCGATATGTCCTCTACATTCATATGTATTTTTTTTTAAGGGGGAAAATCATCGAATGACTGCTCCCGCCTGGGTGAGGCGGGAGGGAGTGTCAGACTCTTACTGACTAAAAACCACTCCGTTCCTTCTCCTGCACGTCGAGCCGGAGCCCCGGTTACCCGTTAGGTTCTCTGCGACACATTAATATGTATAGTTTTCAGTTATAATAGTGTTGACGCCTAATTGTTCTGATCTGAACTCATGATTACGTCTGTACTCCGATCTACATTAAAACGTGTCAAATGTACGCGAGCCAAGCGAGCTGTCCGAACAAGTCTAAATGGTCTCTGATAGATCTTGTCGGCGACACACTAGTGAAGTGTTCGCGTGGTGCCAGTAGGTACTCAGTACGTATCGATGCTTAATTCAAGGGGAAAGTAAGAAGGATGCTGCTAGCGGGTCACTTTGCGAGACTTCCGGGAGTGTCCCCTCCCCCTACGCCTCCCCTCTCCCGCGCCCGCGAGGCGAGGCGAGGCGGCGCTGGCGGTGCGGTGGAGGCTGGCTGCATGACCCGGCCCTGACCTACTTGCGGCGCGCTACGCTCGCTCGGAGCGCTCGCACCGCGTGGCGCGGATCGCGTGACTTGTCGCGACCGCACTACTATTATTATGTCACTTGGCTGTACTCCTACACTACCTGCAGGAGTTACAAAATTACGACTATTTATTTCAAAGCGCAACTTCTAAAGAAGTCATGACATGACACACAGACGGAAATGGGCACATGACATGTTACACCCATTTAGCGCCAGTCAAGTCATCAGAGCCACGTAACAGGGTCGGCACAAAGTATCTGATGTTTTAAAAAACCTCGATTATTAATTCAAAAATAAAATATTAAAAATGCTTAACATGTAAATGTTTTTAATTAAAATTAAGGCGACTTGCATTGTTTTAGTTAGTTACGGTGATCATTTTGTATCGTAACGGGATTTCTCTCAAACTTCCGTGTTGCTATTTAAACTGTCAAACACCAAGCGGTCACCGGTGACCGCAACCTATTGTTCTATAATTGTGTCTACAAAACCGGTACTCGACGAGTTAATAAATATAATATGCTATTTTTTCTAATAAAACAAAGTTAAGTAAGATGTAGTTGAGAATTTAAGTGCGGTTAGCTCTTGACAATGGCGCTAGTGGACTCTGAAAACATGCAGATGCAAGTTACTATTATAAATAAAAATAAGAAAGGATAAAGTGGGCAAATGTAGGCCATACGTCTCAAGTATGAATCGTATAAAAAATAATACAATTAAAATAAATGATAAAAATGAGCAATAAACTTCTAACAAAATGTGAACTAGAGTTTCTCAAGACCGCTTATGTTTTGCTTCTTCTTTGTTTCTTTCTGTGGGTGTCAGTGTGCGCCTGCAGACGTCGCCGCGTACAGTCGGACGCGCCGAGCGCGGTCCACCACCTCAGTCCGTGCTCACCGTGCTGTCGCCGCGTACAGTCGGACGCGCCGAGCGCGGTCCACCACCTCAGTCCGTGCTCACCGTGCTGTCGCCGCGTACAGTCGGACGCGCCGAGCGCGGTCCACCACCTCAGTCCGTGCTCACCGTGCTGCAGGTTTAGCACAACACTAAGGAACAAACGTACAATTATTTACAATTACTAAACGTAGACAACAATATCCAACAAGCTCACTAATATTATTAATGAAAAAGTTTGGGTGTTTGTATGTATGTTTATTAACTACTCAATCACCTCATAACCTGTTGCCTGATATAAATAAATAAATAAAAATAAATAAAAAATAAATAACGGCTGAAGGAATGTCTGGAACAGGGGCAAATTATGCTCTGGAATAACACAGGCTACTTTTGGTGGGCAAAGACAGGGTAGGTTTATAGTTTATATATTACTAGCGACTCGCCCCGGCTTCGCACGGGTGCAATATGCATGTATTATACATACAAACCTTCCTTAAGAATCACTCTATCTATTAAAAAAAACCGCATCAAAATCCGTTGCGTAGTTTTAAAGATCTAAGCATACATACGGACATACAGCGAAAGCGACTTTGTTTTATACTATGTATTGATTAATGTTTTCTTCAAAGTAATATCTGCAAGAGGATATTGTCATTTAGGGAACAATCTTTATTCGTACACCAAATATAAGAACCTGTAACGGTGCCAACATGGCCCGACGTCATTCAATCGTTGGTTGTTAAAAATAAATAGCTGAATAAAGGAAACGAAATCGATCCCTCGACTGTCAATGATGATTGGGACTCTTGTTTGCTGTAATTTATTTTTTTTCATCGTAAGAGATCTGCGATAATTATTAAAATCTTAATTGACAATTTGTGTAACACATCTCACCAATAACCGAAGTCGCACGTATCAAACCCATGACCACATGGTTCAGTCGATCAACGGACCGGAGTGCAGTGGAATTTGTTAAAACTTGGCGGTCATGGTGAATGCTGAATGAAGAAGTATTAAACAGCAGTATAACTATAGTTGTACACGCCGCCGCCGTGCCAGTTCAGCCAGTACTTCGGGGCACTCTCCATGCGCGCGGCGGAGACGGGCGGCGGCGGCGGCGCGTGCTCCGACAAACTTTGCCGCTTAACAAACAAATAGAAGGCAGCCACGTTCTTTACTTTTAGAATTTAAT